TTGCTCCAGGACCATGGTTGTCATGGGTGACTTCAATTACCCGGACATCTCGTGGGAGGATCACTCAGCAAAATCTGAGCGGTTGCAGAGCTTCCTCTCATGCGTAGATGACCTCTACCTGACTCAAAAAGTCTATGGGCCAACGAGAGGCAAAGCGCTGCTCGACCTGGTACTGGCTACTGGGGATGACCTAGTCAGCAACCTAGCTACACTGACACAGCCACTAAAGACTGCCACTACCCTCTTTAACTAGAAGCAGAAAACAGATCATGCTTTTAAAGAGTGTATCAACAAAAAACCTACTACATGTCTTCAGAATTAGCACATTCATGTTTATGAGAAGCTTTTCCTTTTTACTACTAGTTCTTCAAAGAATCAAAATAAGGACTTTAAACAAAAGGCCAGGGACACATCTCAAGGTAGCATTAGCTCCACCAATTGCAACCAGTTACAGCAGGGATGCATTTAACCCTCCCCGCCTCCTCAGCTCCTGATCTATTTATTAAACATTTCCCCAAATCAAAGCCACATGCACAAAACAGAATGCAAGTAAGGGGGATATATTTTTGTTATTGACACCAAGATAGGACAACAAGGCCACATCCCCACAAGCAGAAACGTGCAGTTTGCAGCACTTCAAAGTCTTCTGAGGCACCATGAAATGCACACAGCGCACGTGAATCTGTTTGCCACACTGCATAATTGCAGCACAGTGGCAAAATTAAATACCAGGAAGTACCGATATTTAAAAGAAAACACAGGAAAAAAAAGTGGCATGGCACACGTGACTGCAGCATGTGTTGCCAGACACAGAAGCCTGGCTAACCAGGGCCAGGCTGCACCAAGTACCCGGATTACCACCGCTGCAGCCTCAGGACCCCAGGCCCCTGGGGCCCCAGCCACCCCTACCCCACCCAGGGCAACTTGCCCTGCACCAGAGCACATGTGCGGGGCATATCCAGGAGCAACTAGCAATGGTACAAATATGTGCCACTGCCAATTGTCCCTGGGATAAGGCACATTCCCATTAGTGGGGACATGCCCCAAGGATCTACCTGTGCCTAAGCATCTCCTGCAAGGTACTGAGGTCTTGATTCAGAAAAACATGCCTGAATTGGACACAGACATAATATTTTGCTTAACCAAAAAAAAAAACCCTTCTTTCTGGGACTGTTTTTAATTTTCATCTTTAAAACGTGCAACTTTCACCAAAAAAGGAGCAAATTTTATCGCTCTATTTTCTATCTGTTCTGACTTGACATGTGTCAAACCCAAAAGTGAAGCCGGGTAGGCTGTGCCTGAGACCCACATTCTTCAGAGCACTGGGGAAAGGTATAAGCTAACCTTGATTGCTTTAGATCAGGGCTTAAATCCTCAACCTTAAACGAGCAAGAGAAATGATAACATAAAACCTGACTCCATGAAGGAAGTTGGGCTACATGGCCCAGTTCCGGCCTTATGATTCTGTGATTCTGCCTCACTCAGCCAGCTTCCACTTACTGGGGGTGGAGTTGGGGGGCAGGAATAATTTCCCTTGCTTCCTTTCTGGGCACCTTGGAATGTGAGAACAAGCCTGATTCTGATTTTCTGATTTGAGTTACACCACTGTAAAGCACTGGGCTGGCCCAAGTATGATCATGATGCAAGATCACAATCAGCCCTCATGGAGGAAATGGGTGTCTAAAATATCTGAACATGCATCTCACTGAGCCATAGTATTAGCTCAACATTCTTGTGTGCTGTATATTTGGAAATGATCCTGTGAAGTGAAGTGAAGCCCCCAAAACTAAGCCTATAACTTCTAGGCTTTGGTTTCAAAAGGGCAAACATTCTCTCAAGCAAATCCCGGGACGTCATTCTCCCCCTGTACTCGGCCTTAGTGAGGCCGCAGCTGGAGTACTGTGTCCAGTTTTGGGCTCCACAATTCAAAAAGGATGTGGAGAAGCTTGAGAGAGTCCAGAGAAGAGCCATGTGCATGATCAGAGATCAAGCCTGAAAAAGCGCAGGCTCAGGGGTGATCTGATGGCCACCTACAAGTTTATCAGGGGTGACCACCAGCATCTGGGGGAACGTTTGTTCACCAGAGCGCCCCAAGGGATGACGAGGTTGAATGGTCACAAACTACTTCAAGATCGTTTCAGGCTGGACATAAGGAAAAATTTCTTTACTGTCCGAGTCCCCAAGGTCTGGAACAGCCTGCCACCGGAGGTGGTTCAAGTGCCTTCATTGAACACCTTCAAGATGAAACTGGATGCTCATCTTGCTGGGATCCTATGACCCCAGCTGACTTCCTGCCCTTTGGGCAGGGGGCTGGACTCGATGATCTTCTGAGGTCCCTTCCAGCCCTAATGTCTATGAAATCTATGAAAACTCCACTTGATACTTTCTGCCAACTAGACATTGAGCAATTGATGGCTATTCATTGAGCATGATGATCTAACCAGTTGTGTATCTATCTAGCTTAAAGCACTTCACCTACTCCCTATTTCCTTAGCTGGCCAATGAGAATGGCATGGGAAACAGTTTCAACAGCCTTGCTAAAATCAAGGTATATTACATCCATAGCCCCCTGCCTCTCTCCCCGCTGCTCCTGACTCCAGTCCACAGAGACTATCACCTTATCCAGAAGGAAATCAGTTGGTAAAGTATAACTTACTCATAGCAAATCTGTGCTACCTGTTCCTGATCACCTTGTTCTCCTTTAGGAGTTCCATAATACGTTCCTTTAGGACCTGCTCCATAACTGACTGACTAGTCTGTAATTCCCCAGGTCTTCCTCTTTCACTTTCTTACAGGTGTACAGTAGGCCTGTGTGAAGTGGGTAGTAATCACTTTGGGTTCCGATTCAGCTGATTCGGGGGACAGCGATTCGATTTGATTATTTGAATCACTGTCCCAAATCGATTTGCCCAAATCTGAGTTGGAGATCCGGCTGCCGTCAAATTGGCCAAATCTCTGAATCAAACAAGCTCCATACCCCAACTACTCTCCCAGCCCTGCCCGGATCCAGCCTCCTGGCTCTTAAAAAAAACCCCAAAACTCCGCACTCACTGGCTTCTGCCAGGCAGGGCGGTGGTGATCCCCGCTTCTCCCCACTGTGTGTAGGGGGTTCTGCCCCAATCCTCTAGAAGTCCCAATGGCCACTGGAGCAGCCAGTGAGTGCGGGGCTTTTTTTCGTTTTTTTTTTAAGAGCTGGGATACTGGGGCGAGGCAGGGCAGCCATTGATGGGGTTGGGAGAGCAGGTGGGGGATGGGGGCTCATGGCAGAGCCTCCAATGCAGTGCAGTGTAGTGGGGGACAGTGGGGA